AGCAAGGACAGTAATTGGATCAATGGGTCGCTTTACACAGAAGTTCTGATACCAGTAAGCCAACACCCTGTCACTGTCTGCCCCGCCTTTGAGCTTCTGACATCAATAATTTAGGTTAGACTCAATCTGATCGGTGATTTGTTTACTCCCACCGCAGAGTTTTGAATTATGTTTTTATCTTCTACTGAGACAGTGTCGAGCATTGTTATGCTCCCGGGATGAGCGGGAATCTCTTTGTTTCCATTCAAAAGAGCCTCTGCTTTTCAAGTGTAGTCAAAGTGTAGCATGGTTGCCATGGTCATACCGACAATGCAATACCGATTCCTGGAAAATAAACCTCTTACATATTTCCCATCTTAAAATAATAACATGTTATACAACAACAGTGCAGCAGTTGACCCCAATGTTGATGTCAAACACTCTATTGAAGATCAACCCCCATCAGTAGTTTTCCTGTTGACCTGGTGTCTGCAGCCCATGGCAGTTTGTCACACTCACTGCCTGCCACACAAATATCTTATTTAGCCTGCCCTCTTCTTCTTTTTGTTTTTATGTCTCATTCTGTGGGCAGAGATCCACATTATGAGGAAATGGTCCATTAAATCGGCCATATTCTGCTAATTTTCAGGATTTATTATTATTATTTTTTGCTTCTATTGTGACATGTTGCATGCTTCAATGTTCAAAAAGCTCTTTATTTTTCTCATACTGCCTGTGCTGCAGTACCTCTTTTCACCCTCCGTCTGAAACCAGAGCCCAGTCTGCTCTGATTGGTTAGCTGGCCAGCTCTGTTGCGATTGGTCAATCGCTTAGAGATGTCCTGCCACTTAGCCTATCACATACAATGTGTGTATAGTTAGATAGTGATGTCACTATATCGCAGTAGTAAACAAAGGAGTCCAATCAAGGCAAAGGGGGGGAGGATGTGGGAGAGAAACTCCCTCTGGCGTGAACTTTGGGATTTCATCCTTTTCCGACCATTTATATGCACACCTTCAGGACACTGATAGCACATTTCCCATGTCAGAACATATTATTTTTGTTTAATAAAGCAGGCAAAAAGGAAAGAAAATAAATACGAGGACAGTGACAATAAATAGCAAGCCTTCACTTTAATTGTTGTAGTCCAATCAGGTATCGACCATGATAATAGGAGTGTTGAGAACCACATTACTGGGATATGCATGTATGACCTTTTCTGAATCCACAAGCTAGAAACCATTGATTGGTGTGTCCCTTTGGATTACAAAGGAGATGGATTCCGTTTCAAAATAACGTATTGCTGAGAAATCACAATCCTTTCTTTACAACAAGTTTTTCATGTTTCATATAAGTATCATGTTTTATGTGATGTCAGTTATAAATCTTCTCAAGGAAGGTCTAATTAAATAATAAGCACTAATAAAGGGTTCTACATAAACCCATAACAATTTATGCTTTAGCGATACATGTTTTCTTTGCAAAGCTGAAAGGTTTTAGAATCAATGTGTATGAGCGACGGGGCCTTGTTTGCAATTTAAAAAGTCTATAGCATTTAATGAGCTTCTTGTAGTTAATTTAAAACATTGCAACATTGCAGTTGACGAGAATATAATTTATGATGCTATAAAACATAAAATGGAGCAATAACAACAGGCTCTGGTTGATGATCATAAATCTATTGAGACTAATGAGCCATCAAACCCAATCCCATTCATTAGTAAACTGTGAGTTTATACGTTTGTATGTGGTGCTAATGAGTGAGGATTATAGTAGCGGTGATCCATAACTGTGATGCTAAAGGATGGTATGTCTTTCCATTGTGGTGCTCCCATGTGACAGCATTGACATATGGTAATCCATAAATCTCTAAACAGCCCAGGGGGACATTTGCACTGTAGTCTTATGTACAGTCTTGTATGCATCACAAACACTGACCTTGAGTGTGCCTCCCATTGGGAAGATTCAGCACAATCTATGAGAGCCCATTCACATGCAAATAACCCCCCACCATCACTGTATACAGTTTACACCTCCGTCACCGGTAATGACTTACAATTGCCTAGAAACATGCAACATATCTCCATGGAATGAGTCTATGGACCTGGACCTTTTAATTATATACTTCTTTAATTTGATGTATGTCCACAGCAGGTGGTAAAACATTCCCTTGCTCTTTTTTACTTGAAGCACCAAAAATAATGCATTGCGCAAAAACGCCCACCCTCCTACTCATTTAAATGTGGGGGCCACAGAAGATGCTAATAAAAAAAACTTGCTGCCTTGAACATTAAAACAACATCAACTTTTGAAAAGAACAATCTCATTTAACACTGCGATGGCAAATCTCGTAATCTATTATCAGACCGGAAGAGGCCTACTGGAAGAAAAATGTTGAATGACTTTTGTAAAAAACCCACAGTTTCCTCTGCTTTGTGTTTGTTTGGTGGTGTTTGCAAAGAACGGGGCCAGGTAGGGATTCAAAGTTCTTCTCCAGAGTGTTCTCAAGATGATTTCATCACAATGGGCCCTTTCAATGACACACCCTCACCGCAAGCCCTTGCTAAACAAAAACATGCTTGATTTGTTATGACCCTTGAGTACTGAACCACCCCATCCTGTTCTGTACAATCCTATCCTTTGGCCCTTCATCCTAATTTAATTTAAACTCTTCTGTTGTAGCCAGCTCCCACTAAATAAAAGTCGCGTCATTCTTGCCCATACTGGCCTGAACTGTCCTTTTCTGTACTTTCCTAAACTGTTCTGTCTGTCCCTGCACTATCCTGTCCTTTTGGGTGTCGTCCCGTCCAATCCTCTTGGGTCCTGAACTGTTCTGTTCTCTCCCTTTCTGTACTATCCTGAACTATTCCTTTTATCCTGGCGCAACCAGCCTTTTTTTTGTATTGTCCTGCCCGCTTTTCTCCCATTCCACAAAAACACGTGGTCTATCCTGCTCCACCTTGCATTGTTCTGTCCTAGACTGTCCTTTCCCTCCTGTTCTATCCCATCCCAACTTTGCATTATTCTGTTTTTCTATTGTGTCCCGTCTTACTTTGTTCGGTCTCATTATATGTTTCTGTATGCTCTGTATGTCATATCCTGAACCTTACTGTTCTATTCCAACCTTACTTACATTGTTAGACTGTGTCGTTCTCCACTATCCTTTTCAGTCGTGTCCTGGTACTGAACATTCTTGTGTTGACCGGTGTTGTCCTATTCCATCCAGTCCTGCACTGTTCTGTCCTGTCTCCTGAATCAGGGTTCCCCTATTAGTGCTACAGTATAGCCAGTGGCAGTTCATGATCAATTTTACCGGGGGGGCCATGCTGGGGTCAGTTATTTAATGTGAGGGGCATATTTAATGTGTTGGCGAAGGAGACAAAGACAGTGTTCCAGAGTACAACACTTTTAGTTCAGTATAAAGTTAAAACGTGAAAAAAACAACTTAAAATACCATGATTGGTGTATTTTTTACAGAATTTATGTCAATAACTTACTAACAATTTTAGTTTTAGTGACTTATTTTCAGTTATTTTGGCACAGTCACTTCGTTACAATTTTATTAAATTACATTAATGAAAAAAAAACATTCCTCACTTTTGACCCAGGTACAGTAACACAAATTGCATTATCATAGATTATTCTGTGCGAGGGGGGCCACAGCAGTGCTCAAGCTCAGTGTTGCAGGCCCCCCACACCAGAACCGCCCACGGCTATTGCGCCATCTCCCCTCTTAATGTCACCCTGGCTGCAAAATGACATGAAACATAATTCACATTTGTATGTTTGCTGCCAATCATAAGTCTTTATATGCATGTCTAATTGTGTGAATCAAGCTAAACCCAGCTGAGCCTTCACAGCAGATCAAAGGCTTATCCATGCGTCAACCTCGAGACTGTTTCATTCTGCTCCATCCACTAGGCTTGCTTAAATTCGATTAATGACAGAAGGAGTGGACGCAGAAATGTCCTGTTTGAAGCCTGACTCATCTCATATGACTATTGGGGGAGGAAAGCAGTGTTTTGTGAGGAAACTTGCTAACTTTGCAGATGAGCGCTACATCACAGAGGCGGCATGGAAACTGGGTCAGGGGTTTTGCACGATGCTCTATTTTTTTCAGTGCTATTATGAAATACAGTGAACAGAGGAAAACACTGTCAGAGACAAACAGCAGTGGTGATATAACGGATTAAATCAAAGTAGTTTTTCATTGAGGTCATGGTTGCTTGGACACAACAGATCTAATACCAGTTACATAGCGACGCATTTGAGTCCTCACATGAGCAAGGTATTATAGCTTTGTGACGGACTAGTGAGGGTCAGTCAATTCTGTCTCTCACTCTCTCTCACTCTCACTCTCTCTCACACACTCTCACACACACACACACACACACACACACACACACACACACACACACACACACACACACACACACACACACACACACACACACACACACACACACACACACACACACACACACACACACACACACACACACACACACACAAACAAACAAACCTCTCTCCAACTCTAAATCTCCCTTTGGGTAATCAGACTGTGTATTTTTAAATCTGTCACTAATCTCTAATATTAGCATAACACACTGGACAAGGTTAGCTTTCAGACTGTGGGTACATTTTTCAACTCACAAACAAATACGCATTTTGTTAGAAATCTGAAGCAGACATTTCCTCAGACTTGCGAATACTCTTATATACAAGCATGTGGGACCTTTTATTGTGCATGTCATGCCAAGCCCACCATGACACACAGATGTCAAAACAGATGCCACAGACGACGTCTCTCTGCAGTTGGCAAGAGTTTAGGACGGTTTAAAAATGGCAGGATTTGAGAGAGAACAGCAATCATCAAATAGTATGATTGCTAAAATAGTATAATCCATCAAATTGGTGAAAAGATTGGCTAAGGTATTTCATCCATTTCCAGAGTTTTGAGTCCTGACACATACAGTATGATTTTGGTGTGTTTAATTATTGTGTTTTTTCTGTTTGTGTAGGAGGCGCTGCAGGCCTTTGCTTTCCTGGTGTTTGTGGTCGTCTGCGTCCTGGGATCCATCTACCTCTATTTCGTCCTCCCTGAGACCAAAAATAAAACATTTATGGACATCAGTCAGAGCTTTGCCAAGATCAACAAAATCCCTGTCCCCTCCCCTGGCCAAGAGATGGAGCTGGTCCTGTCCTGTAAGCCTGACATGTACGGAAAGGACATCATTAAGATGGAGAGCTCTTTCTAGCTTAACAAACTAATTGTTGGTAAGCAGGGTGACATGTGGTTTGTATTTATTTAATGACAATAGTCAATTACATTAAAATCAATCGTTTTGTTTCAATGCATTTTGGTATTTTTATATATTTTGTATGACTGGAATATTTAGGAATAATAGTTTAATTGCAAATAATAGCAATTATTTGTTTATACCTCTTATTACAATTAAACAAACCAACAAGAGTTTAATATACAGTATGTAACAATCATACATTTCAAACACCCTTAATAGTGGAAATCATTCAACAGTTACAAAAGGAATTGTAATGTGACTGAGGGTGGCTTGCATACAATGTTGATGTGCACACTATTAAACTTAGACCTGTATTAACTGATTATTATTTTTGCCTTTTGGGGGGTTTTGCCAACCTAATATAGGATAGTAGAGACATGCTATCCTGCTAGCATACCCTGGCTTATGTACTCCTCCATCAGATTTGGAAACATTAGCACCCTTCTCGAGTTGTGTCTGTGTCAACCAATTTCCAATCTTCATTCTCTTTTTTCAGCTGTTGGTATTTATGCTGCTACTAAATACTTAATTTCACCAGTTTATCCCGAACATCAGGTGTTTGGTGTTGAGCAGAGTATGAGGTTTTGACATGGAAACATCTGCTTCCAGTGGTCAAAAACAACTCTGATGAAAGCAATGAGACTGAACAAAAGCAATAACGTTTTGAATGATAAAATGAAAACAATGAGCTAAAAAAGTTTAAACGCCATGAACAGCTGACAGGAGAAGCAATGTTGGGTTATACCAGTGGTTCCCCGGGGGGCGCAGAGGCATGACAGGGGGGGCACGAGAGACCAGGAGGAAAAATGGATATATAAAAAAAAAAAATGTAAAAGATCAAAAAAATCATAGTTTGAAAAATTATTGATTCGAAAATAATATGATGTTTCATTAAAGCTCGGCTCTGTGTGTGGAACGAGCCATTATCCTCTTAAGCCCTGAGCCTGTTTTTAAGGTTTCAGGCTCGAAAATGCTATGCCCAAAACAAATGACTATAACTTAACTTCTAAAAGGGTTATATGAATAATTTATTTTATCAAAGCAAGGTTACATCTGTGAGTTGGATGTAGAAGTGTCAGAATCAATATAGATATTTCTCAGTCAGAGTAAATTCAGATGGAACATAGTAAAAAAAGGTAAATTCTTACCCCCGCCTAAAAAAAAAACCATTACTTATAGTGAAAACTACCCTTGAATGATGGGATAGTAGACTAAAAGCTTTAGGAATCCAAAGTCTCACATATAATAAGTACCCTGTATCAAGATTGAGGCAAAACAAGTTAAATTTGACCTTTTTAGAGAGGTTTAGCTAAAAGTAGTCCAGAAGGACTGACCTTTGGGCACATTTGGGCACATTTGGATACCATCAGTGCCATTTGACCTTTTTCAGGTACCATACTGTAAAAATAATTGTATTATCACTACAGGTAATCATTCCATCCAAATACAAGTGTTTTTAAAAAAAAGGGACTTCACCCCTCATGTCTGCATCAAGCTGCACCCTGAAGGACTTCTGGGTGTGTGGCTTCGTCCTGCCGGGGTCACCCCTCATCTTGTGCAGCTCCTTGTGGAGAAGGAAGCTGTTCACCACTGCAATGTCCAGAAAATGGTAAAAAAAAAGGTCTTGTACCATTTCATGGTTTTGTGGTGAACACTGTAGTACCCAATCAAAGCATCGGACACATCCACGCAGCCCATGCTTCTGTTGTAGTCCACCACAGCGTCAGGAACGGTAACAACCTTAGTCTTCCACACACCAGCCCGTTTCACTTTCCTCCTGACAGTCTGTCCACTGAATCAGAAGATGCAGAGGGAGGCTGAGTTAGTACTGGTGCAGACGTCCGGCGGCGTAGCTTGGATGTTGATGGCTCTGGGGCAACTGTATGCTGATCTGATGCACGTCGTAGCTCGGATGAGGCAGATGTTGATGGCTGTGATCCAGAAGCCATTTAATACTTGTCTTCATCACTGTGAAAACAAATGTGGAAAAAACTTTGATTACTTCACTGGATTATTCTTTCAAAAATGTAACTCAAATCAGAAATAATTCCTCCATTTAGCGTGTGTGAAATAACAGTATACATATGTGTGTATACTGTTATTTCATATATATATATATATATATATACTATAGCGTGTGTGAAATAACCGTATACATATATATACTGTTATTTCATACACGCTATAGTATATATATATATATATATATGTATACTGTTATTTCACACACGCTATAGTATATATATATATATATATATATAGACTGATATACAATACAGCTTTATTTATAATCTGCTAATAGTCAATGTCTGTAGAACTACAAAACAGCATCCATTTGGCGTGTGTGGAATAACAGTATATATATATATATATATACTGGGTTGATATACAATACAGCTTTATTTATATACTGTCGTGTTATAGTCACGAAATACAATTAATCTATTTATACGTTCACCAACATGATGTTGCCATTGTTTTAGTTTCTCACGGAACGATAACGCTACAACAACAAAGCGGCGTCCATTTTGTATTTTGCGAGTGTGGAATTACTATAGATTACACCAAATACACAACTAATAGATACAAACAGAGAGAGTACATACCTTTCCTGAAGTTCATAATCAGGGTTGCCTGCTGTTGTCTCTGTTCGCTGTGTTCTCTGTTCGCTGTGTTCGTTGCTGCTGTGCTGGAGCGGTTGTGCGGGCTGCTTCTGCTACGTCTGTGCGTAAAGCAGCCGCTGCTGGCATTATTCATACTACGCAGGATCCTATCTCTGGAACCCATTGGTCAATTTGGGTGATTGACACATTTTTTGAAACTTTGGAGCCAATAGAATCGAGGGGGAGTTAGTAAATCCCGCTTTACACTTACTTCAAGGAGAGAGAGGCTTGCGTAAACAGCACGTGAGAAAGCCTAAACCCGGACTGCAAAACGTTATACCTACGATGCGGCCATGAATGTAATGATGGATTATCAGGAACAATTCTAAAGTGACTAAGAGACATTGGATGAACCTTGAGCAGCGTTTTTATTCCCTTGAACACGACTTTTGATCACAAAACAGCAACGGTAAAACATAATTATTGTTATGCTTTAGAACACTGTTGTTGTTTTCTTGCTCTGTTCTGGCTGCTCGCTCAGTGAGTTTGTGTCCTACAGTGATGATACTTATATAAAAATAATCTGTGGAGTATCAGCTTTCAGCTGATATGTAGTTTGTGCAGAATATATTCATTTTTAAAGATCGTTTTTGCTAGTTAGCACCGGAAGTATTATCAGCCTGTTTTCACTAAGGGCTAATGCTAACGCTTCTTGTGAGACTTGTGTTTTGTTTCGGTTAAAATGGCTCATATCATTAGGTTGCTGAGTTTTTTTCCCGTTATTTGAGTATAAGACATTCATAGGTTTTTAAATATTAAGAAGCCCCCAGACGCTGTCTCCTGCAGTGACGTGTTTTTCCGCCCGGTATCGGGGGGGCCGGGTTTAAGAGGTTATGTGTGCATGCGCGAGTGAGAGAGAGAGAGAGCACACCGGTGTCAGTACCAGATATGTTCGGGCTACCAGATATGTTCGGGTGTATTTCCGTCGCATCCGTCATCCGTCATATTCGTCATATTTTACGGCAACTCAAGAGGGCCATCATGGTCAAATTCCGAACATTTAAACATAGCCGACACTTCATTCTTTACTTTGTCCGTTATTATATGTAGAAGATTATACTTTTTCTCCGTCATGTTGTTTCCTTAGCAACAACTTCAAACAGGCATAGCCTACACTTCATTCTTTACTTTGTCCTTTATTATATGTAGAAGATATTAATTTTTTCTCCGTCATGTTGTTTCCATAGCAACAACTTCAAACAATAACAACTAACCGCTAGCCGCAAAGCTAGCATCACAGCCACTGCTCCGTTTTCGGAGACTTTGCACACGTTTTTCACAAACATTTTCACACGCTAGGAGTACTTCCACTAGCTTCGTCTTGATCTGTAGATGTGATTTGATGTGTCGTGTGTCCCCCAACTCCTCTCCAAAGTTCAGATATTTAATAAAATACTCAGGGGAGTTTCCTGACTTTTCATGCCCAAAGCCAAGCACTAGGCCCTGGGTAAATTAAGAGGCTGATCTCGGGCACTTTTTCCACTTTCCCTGGTGGTCGAAACTCAAGCCAGACATCCCTGGAATCGTCTCAGAGAGTAGATGATCAGTGGGGCCTTGTTTTTACTGAATAATGTGTTTTTTTATGGGGAATTCAAATATGAGCTTATTTTTAGGATTTTCGGAGACTTTGCACACGTTTTCACAAACATTTTCACGCTAGGAGTATGGGAGTAGTTCCATTCGCTTCGCCTTGATCTGTAGATGTGATTTGATGTGTCGTGTGTCTCCCAACTCCTCTCCAAAGTTCAGATACTATATAAAAATACTAAAAGGTAAATAAAACATTAAACATTAAAGTACATGGGACCCCACCATAGCACCCCACACATAACAAGCTGTCCCGAGTTCCTCCGGCTGCAGTTCCGCAGACGGCCGGTGTGTGGCAGCAGAGCGCTGGGAGCAGAGGGAGGTGAGTATATGACGGATATGACGGATGGCGGATGCGACGGAAATACACCCGAACATATCTGGTAGCCCGAACATATCTGGTACTGACACCGGTACAGGAGATCGTAGTTGTTAGCTTCTGGTGCTAGCGAGCTACGCTAACGGATATAAGGAGTTTTTTCAACAACAAAGTGGAGGAGAGTCCTCTTCTGTCAGACTGAGAGGCTCAGTGAGCTTTATTTATTTATTTATATATTTATTTGACAGGGACAGTGCACATTGATTGACATTTCTGTAAATGCGCCAGAGTTAGCCAACAGGCTATTTTCGTCTGTAGTCCCTGGACAGATGTTGAAAGTCATCCTAAAAACAAAAATTCACTTCAAATAACAGGTAAATATAATCAGTAAAACAACATTCAACAGAGATATTTATATAATGATAAAAGCATATATAAAAACATAAAAACAAAACTAAAATACATATTCACAAAGCAGACGGATAGCAACAGGTCAAGGCACATGTACAAACAGAGCGTTGTAAAGTACAGATTGTGTCAGTGTTGACAGAGCTGACTTTCCACTAACCATGTTTTTAAGTTAGATTTAAATAAACTGCAGGTGTTTTGTTCTCTAATCTTTACTGGGATTGAGTTCCACTGTTGTGCAGCTTTAAAAGAAAATGAAGATTGGCTGAATGAACTCTTCCTTAATGGAACAACGCAGTCTCCTCTTGTTGCAGCTCTTGTTGACCTAGTTACAGGT